TAGTAGTAGTAGTAGTAGTAGTAGTAGTAGTAGTAGTAGTAGTAGTAGTAGTATTTCTGTTATCATTATTATTGTTGCTGTCGTTTTTATAATTACTATTATTTTCACCACCACCACCACCATCATCATCATCATCATCATCATCATCATCATCATCATCATCATCATCATTTACTCGTTCACATTATATCATTCATTCATTCATTCATTCATTCATTCATTCATTCATTCATTCATTCATTCATTCATTCATTCATTTATTATATATTTATTCTTAAATTATTTTGATTACTGTCAGGAACACTTTGCACACACATTGCAGACATTTCAAAATATTGTACAAAAACAGACACCACACGCATTACAGACATATCAATGTTATGTTATGTTCCTAATAATTATTTGGGGGGTCTGCAATTTATGCATTTTTAATGTTTATGTTCATGGCGTATTTCTTTATTGAGACGACTTATTTCTGTGTTAGCACATGTTTATATACCATTAATTATTTCTACGTTGATCTTGTGCCAAAACGACATACATGTATGAAGGTATAATATGTGTTACGACGCCATGGACTCAGGTGCTCGTCAGTATTTTGGGTATGTGGAGTTATAGGTACCATTTAAGGCTTGTTTATTTGTCATGCTTTCTATGAAAAAATACTCGTCTATCGTGAATAGAAGTTCAGATATTTGCAATTGAAGGAGGTGAGGGTCGGCTGGTTTCAAACGTAAAATAAGCGAGAAAATGGCGGCCAAAGTTGGGTGACTTTCTAAGTTTGAGAGTCCTTTGAAACAGCAAAACTACGTTTTGTTTTGTGTCTTTAATGAATGTTTTCAGTGAAGCCCTCACAGAAATGTGTGTTTTAAATGGACTGTAAAAAAACGTGGTGAAAATTGCCAAACGAACAAAAAAAATGCGGGTTTCTTCGATTTAATTATTTTGACGAGCGCCTGATTTCACCACGCTGCCTCACATAATATAATTATACTTATTATATTTCTTTTCCTCTTGGTCAGACTCGTCTTCGAAGATAACTATCTGGAAGCTTTCCAGCCTTCAGCCGGTGGAGGTCGACAGGGATGAAGAGACGGATCAAGACGTCTGTATCTTGGGACGACGTTGTCTTCACCTACTTCCGCCCACGCCTTGGAGTGTTTTTACTTTGAGGAACCTACACAAAAAAAAACAACGCTAAAGATAATAATTATGATAACTTTAAAAAAATGTCAATTACAGCAAAATTGTGCTGAATAGAGGTAACATTGTTTTCCTCTAAAACTTACGCTATAATGATTTTACTGGTTGAGACCTTAACGAAAAAGTGATGGGTTGAAAAAAATGTAACACAGTTCTTTGGAGCAGAAACACTCTGTTCTGTCTACTAAAGATCTCTATTTTATGTATAATTTGGCATTTTAAAATATAAGGTAAGGTGCTTATGTCACGGTGAAGGGAATACGAACAAAATGGGTGGGGG